GCGGCGACCGGCAAGCCAGCCGATCACCGGGCCGGAAGCAAGGCCTGCGTGCCACCCGCCAAGGCCAAGGCCGCGGGTAGGGTAGGGGCCAAAGCCGCCACCGCATCTGTGGCCTCCGTCGCAGCCGCAACTGCCACCGCCACCGCTGTCACGGTCGCCGCCGCCGCGGCCGCGACACCGACGCCCGCAGAGGGGCCCCCCGTGGAGGAAGCTGAAATGGAATGCCTATAACGGCCCCATTAAGCTTCCTCCAGGCGAATATCAACCACTGCGCCTGCGCTCAGGATCTGTTGCTCCAGAGCATGGCGCAGTGGTCGATTAACATCGCTGTGGTCGCTGAGCCGTATTTTGTCTGGCCTAGTGAGGACTGGGTGGCGGACCTTAACGGCTCAGTGGCCATCATCTCTTCGGCCGCTGCCGGTACCCCGACCCTTGAAGGTGTCAGGAGGGGTCAGGGGTGTGTAGCAGCACGGTTCGGGGAGTTCGTCGTTGTGGGAGTGTACTTCTCCCCGAACCGATCTCTCGCCGAGCTCCACAACTCTCTTGCAGAGCTGAGAGCAGTCGTCGTCGGAAGTTATCCCCTCCCCCGTACTTGTCCTCGGGGACTTCAATGCCAAGAACTTGGCTTGGGGTTCTCGTCATACAGATGTGCGGGGTAGGATGGTGGAAGACTGGGCTCTGGAGACAGGCCTGGTCGTCCTAAATCGGGGTTCTGTCCCCACGTGTGTGCGGATGCGGGGCGAGTCGGTGGTGGACATCTCGTTCGCTAGCCCCGCTCTGTCGCCGCGTGCCATTGACTGGCGTGTCATGGAGGGGGTGGAGACCTACTCCGACCACCGGTACATCCGGTTTGATGTCTCCACCCAGCCCTCGAGCGCGCCAGTCCAACAGGCCCCGAGTGGTCCGCGTTGGGCGCTAAAGCAGCTGGACCGGGAGCTCCTCCTGGAAGCCTCGATCGTGCAGGCCTGGGTGTCATCACCGGACAGGCCTGCCGACGTCAATGATGAGGCAGGGTGGTTCCAGGAGGCCATGTCCGAGATATGTGACGTGGCAATGCCCCGCGTCCGGCCCGGAAGCGCCCGGCGTCAGGTGTATTGGTGGTCGTGTGAGCTGACGTCTCTGCGCGAGTCGTGTGTCGCCGCGCGGCCCCTGTACACCAGACATCGCAGGCTCCGCATTCGTCCACGGAATGCGGCAGCCATTGAGGCGGAGCTGTACCAGGGATACAGAGCGGCGAAGAACGCCCTCCGGGAGGCTGTCCTGCGGGCCCGGGATCGGGCCCGTGAGGAGATGCTGGAGACTCTCAACAGAGATCCGTGGGGGGCGCCCTTACAAGATGGTGCGGGATAAACTCCGCACCTGGGCCCCCCGCTGACGCAAAGTCTCCGGCCCCAGCTCGTGGAGGACGTGGTGAGCGCTCTGTTCCCTGCGCGACGGGGAACATCCGCCCCCGCCTATGGCTCCGCCACCTGCGGTGCACGGACCACCAGGACGACGACGACGACATCCCGGAAGGGACCGGGGTAGACCTGAGAGTGGCGGTACGTAGGCTCAAGGCCAGGAATACCGCCCCAGGACCCGATGGCTTGCCTGGCAAAGCCTGGGTCCTGGCCTCGGAGGCTCTCGGGCCCCGACTGAGGGGCTCCTAAGCGCATGCTTGGAGAGAGGCCAATTCCCGCTTCGTTGGAAGACGGGGAAGCTGGTCCTCATTCGGAAGCCAGGGCGCCCTGCGGACTCTCCGTCCGCATACCGGCCCGTGGTGCTGCTCGACGAGGTGGGCAAGCTCTTTGAAAGAGTCATTGCAAACCGCCTCGCCGAGCACCTTGCGGGGACGGGGCCGGATCTTGCGGAACACCAGTTTGGTTTCCGCAAGAGGCGCTCTACGGTGGACGCCATCATGCGCGTGAGAGCCCTCACGACGGGGGATGCAGTGGCCAGAGGGGGGTTGTCTTGGCGGTGTCTCTCGACATCGCCAACGCCTTCAACTCCATGCCCTGGAGCTGCATTAGGGAGGCACTCCGGTATCACCGGGTGCCGACCTATCTCCGTCGTATAGTTGGGGACTACCTGACGGACAGGGCCGTCATCTACCCCGGTCGCAACGGTGAGTGGAACCGGCGAGAGATGTCGTGCGGTGTCCCACAGGGTTCGGTTCTGGGGCCACCTCTGTGGAACATCGGTTACGACTGGGTGCTGCGCGCCGACCTCCCTACCGGCGTCAGCGTAGTTTGCTACGCTGACGACACGCTGGTACTGGCACAAGGGGGGGTCGTACGAGGCGGCGGCGGAAAATATGACACGCGGGGTTGCGATAGTCGTTGAGAGGATTCGGCAACTGGGTCTCGAGGTGGCTCTGCACAAGTCCGAGGCCATGCACTTCCATGGTCCTCGGAACAGGCCACCACCGGGATCCTCAGTGATGGTAGGAGGGGTATCCATCGACGTCGAGTCGACGCTGAAGTACCTAGGACTCGTCCTCGACGGCCGATGGAACTTCGTTGAGCACTTCCGACGTTTGGCTCCCAAACTGGAACGGACCGGGGCTGCCTTCAGGCGGCTCCTGCCGAACCTGGGAGGGCCAAACGCCTCCTGCCGGAGGCTCTACGCGGGGATCGTGCGGTCCATGGCCCTTTACGGGGCCCCGGTGTGGGCGCGTGGTTTGGCGCGGCTTGCCGTCCACCACCTGAACGCGCCCCAAAGGGTGATAGCCGTGAAAATGGTTCGCGGCTACCGCACGATCTCCCGCGAGGCGGCGAGCCTCCTTGCCGGATTGCCGCCATGGATCTGGAGGCGATAGTCCTCGCGCGCCTGCACGAATGGCGTGCGGAGGCACTATGCCTTGGGGAAACCCGCTGCCGCGGCAAGTTGTCGCGCAGCGGACAGACTTCCGGCACGATCTCATGGCGACATGGAGACAGCGACTGTCGCAACCCCGTGCTGGGCACGCCACTATAGCGGCGATAAGACCCCTCTTTGAGGAGTGGCTTGAGAGACGCCACGGCATCCTCACCTTCCGCCTGACGCAGGTCCTCACCGGACACGGTGTGTTTGGGAGGTTCCTGCACCGAATCGGGCGGGAGGAAACGCCCGGGTGCTCCCACTGCGAGGATGGACCGGAGGACACGGTGGAACACACCGTGGAGGTGTGCCCTGCTTGGGCGGAGCACCGCCGGGTCCTCGTAGCGGCGATAGGCGGCGGCGACCTCTCGCGTCCGGCCCTGGTCGAAGCCATGGTCCGGAGCGAGACGGAATGGGATGCCGTCACCACCTTCTGCGAAGCAGTGATGCTAGCGAAGGAGGTGGCGGAGCGGGAGAAGGAGAGAGCAGCAGCTTTCCTCCCCGGCCGCCGCGGGAGACGCCCCGGGCGTCGGGGGCTACGTCGTGGCCCCCGGCCACCGTAGGCGCGGGCCTGTGGACGGCGAGCAATGGGTAGCTCGTCGTCCGTCCGTCTAATGACGACAGGCCGTGTCGACGGCGCGTTTTGTTCCACGCGCGCCTCAAAGAGCTGTCAGCAGCGTGAAGGGGCCCGCAAGGGCCGACGCCTGCCGGGGCTGCGGGCTGTTCGAAAGAGATACCGCGGCTCCGGAACGTAAGGGCACTGAAGGAACACGGATGGTTTTTAGTCAGTAAAAGTCTGACACTCCCTTACGCTCCACCCAGAGCGAAAGGGGTCATTAGATGATTTTCCATCCGCAAAAAAAAAAAAAAAAAAAAAAGGGTAAATGTATTCTGTGAATATATATAGAAACATACCATACCAAGCGGCTTGCTACATATTTATTTATCTATGACCAGGCGTAGACAGTAGGTTTCTCTGTCTACGATACCAGGCCATAAACTCCAAAAAAAAAATTGAATTAGTGTTTATAAAAATAAAAAATAAATTGTAGTTGATGGTAGTTGAGAAGTTTATCGTTTGAAGTTGTTTGTTTTTATTTTGATTAAGGGTTTTGTATTTTTGATCTAAAAATAATCCTTATTTAATCTAATATTAATTAATACTTTTATACTATTATACTATACTATATTTATACTATTATTAATTAATAATTAATACTTTCATTGTAATATGTATATTTAAACTGGAAGAAAATAAAAACAGAATATAACCTTTATTTAATGAATTAATTTCTCGTTGAGTCGAGGAAATTGCTACCTATCACATAAAATTCTATGTTTTTTTATCAATTTATGAATTTTACATGTTAATTTATTTTCATTGATCAATGTACAGTTTTCAGTTTGAAAGGTATGGAACTTTTTAAATTTGTAATAATATTTATTTCGGCTTTTATTATTTAATAATATTATATTTCTTCCTCTTCGGTTGTTGGTTTTTGAGCTATACTTACCGTAAAACGGGGTGAATAGGGACGATTTCAAGGTTTAGGGCAGATTTCTAATTTGTTATCATTGTGTTTGTTATTGAATACTACCTAAATATTCCTTCCGGTGGCTGAAACTTTTATTATTTAGAACTTTTCCCGCATAAAAATGTAGGTTTTACGAGAATAAGAGAAAAATATGGCCGATCCCGACTCACCCCGTGGTTGGGGTGAAAAGGGACGAAAGAGGGGTGAATCGGGAATTCAGTTAGGGCTGCCACAGATTTTTACCCAACATGATAAAATGAGGTTTTCAATTCCACTTAACAATGTTAAATAAAACAAATATAACAGTGTAGAAAGTATTTATTTAATGAGATCAGTAATACAGTCAGCAAACAAAATAGCAGATTTTTTTTTCAAAAGTATGTTAATATCACGTTATTTTCTTATACAATAGACTATTATCAACTACTTTTCTTCTTTTATCAACTAAATAAAATTGAAGAAAAAAAAACATAATAAAAATATTAATTTCGACAAAACAAAACATTTTCGTAATAAGTAATAACTCAACATTGATAAAATAAAACCTCGTATTAGGACTTAATAATAGAAATCGTAGGCGAATTATGTTTTACGATTCAAGAAGCCTGAAACAAAAACCATATTACATTATTCGTCATCTTCTAAAATTTTCAAAATTTCACTTTCATTTTTATAATAATTTGTTAGACATCTTTTTTTCTTCTTAGGGGGTGGCAATGGTAATTTAATATCTGATATGATTTTTATTTCTTTTTTCTTTTTAGTATCCTTCTTTATCTCTTCTTGCTTTAAAAAGTCTGAGCTTGAGATAGTCACTTCGTCTTGATATTGTAAATCTAATGAGTCAGCAAAAACAATAGGCATATCTTCTACGTTAAATGACCCTGAGTCTTTTTCTCTAAGAATGTTTTGGAATACAACAGATTTATCACTCTCATCCGTATTTTTTACATATTGGCCAATGACATCTCTTGATGGTCCAGCTTCCGGTAATATTGGCATAACATTTTCTTTCCCATCCCATCTCTCATCGTCTACTTGCTGATTTGTTTTTAGACATAACAAATTAAAGGTTTTTGTTGCTCTTTGGTGCTCTTTTCTATCGTTAGGTTCGTCAGGCACATTCCTGTTGGTAACTTCTTGAGATTGTGTTGGTGTTTTACTCTTTTTTCCTTTTCCTTTTCCTTTATAACCACCGAATTTCCAAATTTTTGGTATTTCTTCTTCGGGCATCATTTCTACATCATTTCCACAAACACTTCGCCCTGAAACTACCTCTAACTTTTTCTTACATTTTGGTTCCCTAATTTTCATTGTACTGAAACGCATTTCTTTTAAAATTTTCAGGAAAGATTCATCTACCGCATTTTTATTTGTATCTGCTTCTTGATTTAGTGTAGGTAATCTTGACAAGACTTCATTCGCATTTAATGGAATGATTCCTGCTTTACGGAAGCCAGCTTTGATGTTTTTTTCCGAATTGGGTTTTAATTGGTCTATCAATAATTTTAAAAGACGCGGGAAACAACCTTTAGGCTCTGATGTTAACATTCTGCCGTCAGTGTTCTTCCACTTGTCTAGTAGTTGTCGCCAGGCTAATTTCATCGGCCTAAAAAAGGCTAAGTCTAACGGCTGGGTTATATGCGTAGAATTCGCCGGTAAAAAGACAAAATGTATGTTCCTTTCTTTACAGAATTTAATCAGATCCACGGAAAGATGCGAAGACAAGTTGTCTCCGATCAGGATCTTTTTTCCTTCTTTGTTTTCAAAAAAAGATACGACTGTGGTTTCGATCCAGTCTTTGAAAATGTCACCGTCAAACCATCCGGATTTAGACCGATTGTACCTTGCACCCTCAGGGCCATTCTCAACCCATGTGTTATAAAGGTGTGAAGCCTTATAAACAATGTACGGTGGCAATAGTTCTCCTGAGCCTGTACATGCCATCATCAAAGATGTTGAGCCTTTTGAATGGTTTACTACCCTTTCCGGGTATTTACAACCTCGTTTTACAATTACTTTTTTTCGGCCAGGATCGTCAGAGAGATTCGTCTCGTCATAATTTATAATATTTGTAGCTGGAACATTTTCTAAGGATTTTTTCAACTCACAGAAGTATGTCTGTATAGATTCTGGTGAAACTGCAGCCCTAGATCTTTTTATGTTTTGGCATAGTCTCTTTGAAATTTTATTTTTGTGCCGTTTTAGAAAACCGTTTGTGTAGTCTATTCCTGGTAAATTATTTTTAAACTTTTTGTGTACTATCCCTTGTGTGTCTAGATACATTTTGACTAAGTATCTTAAGTCAGTTGTATCTAGGGGATATCCCCACTCTGCACACGTATTTAAGTTTTCTACCAATAGATCTTCTATATCTGGTGTAAGCGCTGTTTGGCCACCAGGGCATTTTATATTTTTATTGGTATGATGGCGATGAAGAGTTGATTTTGATATACCATACTTGTCGGCCACAGATTTTATAGATTTCACATGATTATAATTCAATTCTTCAAGAGCTTTTTTAATTATTTCCTCATCATACTTTTTGTACTGCTTACACCCTGGTTTAGGTTTATAAATGCGAGGCATGATATCGTTCTGTAAACAATGAAAATTATTTGTATAAATATAATGTACACAAAATATCTTTAAACTTCGTCATTTCATTAGATCATGATATATGGAGCATGTAGATTTACTGTCTAAATAAAATAAACATTACCTTTAACCGTTAATTATTGCTTATTTAACTTCAGTATTAGTTATTTACATATCTGTGACTTTCTATTGCTATTTCGTAAAGAAAGATTGACCTTTTTAATATTGACATCGTCTTAGGTTCGAATATTTGTATGCAATAAAATACTTTTCTTATGATTTCTATGACAACATATAAATATTTTTTTCTTAAACAACTGAATAAGAGACCAAAATAATTTTGACAACCCTATTAAGTAAGCCCTATTCACCCCTCACTCGTCCTGAATCACCTCTAATTCGTTCCAAATGACCCCTTTTCCGTCCCGAATCACCCCTTTAACTGTCTCTATTCTCCCCTCACACGTCCCTTGTCACCCCAAGATTATCAATTAATGCAGAACCTTTAAAAATTACCATTTGAATCGAAAATATGTAGTTGTTGAACTTACCTTTATAGTATATTAGGTCCTTGAATAATATCACGATAAAATTAATCAATCAGCGTCACTCGAAATTGGTATTTATTATTTTAAAATTGAAATGTTTACGGAACAATATTTTGGCACTTCAATAGTGTTCAATTTAAATAACGTTTTTCTGTCTTATTTGACATTTTAGATACTAGATGTTGCCAGAATAAACAAGAAACAGTTCTCAATTAAAAAAAAAACATCTGTCATTTGATAATCCGGCTGTATGTAGAAGTATCAGTGAGTAGAAAAAAATCTTGAGTTTGTCCCTATTCACCCCTACATCCCTATTCACCCCGTTTTACGGTACTGCCGGTCTAAGTTCACCTTTTTATCAACTACTCAGAGTTTGCAATTTCAAATGAATACTGTTCGAAAGATTTACTTTTATAACATAATATCTTCTTTACTATTTTATTGACTTTGTATGCTAACTTACCAACTGTTTGGTTTCTCTTAATTTCAAACAATTATCTTAAATTGAATTATTTAAGTTATTCTTCATTATTCTGGCTTTTTTGACTTAAGACCAATAAAAACATTTGACATGTTGCATTTAGTTTTAACAACTTGTGTAGGTGTTTTAAATTCCGTTTAATATTCCGATTTTGTACTTTGCAATTAAAGTGATAACTAGTTCTATATTTGTTACAAACTTTATGTTACAGTTAAAACTGTGTTCCTGATCAATAGTACTTTTAATAAAGTATTTTTAACTAAAAAACTTTGGGTAAGTCGAAAAAATATTGGTTCTAAGTAATTTTGATCAAACTTTGTAGTTAAAAAGAGGATTTTTTTATTTATATAATTTTGATGAGAATGTATTTATAAGTATTTATTAATCTTTATTATGCACCTTATACTAAGGGCAGACTTAATGCCTTATGGCATTCTCTGCCAGTCAACCCTGGTTTGATGAGGACTATTTAGTGAAAAAAGTGTTTAATTTACAAAACATTGCCACTCGATATTTTCGTAAGCTAGCATAATTAGATTAGCATCTACTTGGTCATTCTGGGGAAAAGTAATATTTATTGATAAACCTTATATACTTGAGAGTAATATTAACATAGAGGTGCGAACATTCTGCCATGCTTGAGAAAAATGTGATTCATCTTGCCTGGCTTAGGACTGTCTAGGAAAAAGGGGAGAAAGTCAGAAGATGCCTTTAGGTGGCACAAAAATATGAACTTTTTTTTAATATTTTTGTTGTTGTTTGGCTCTCCCCTACTCCCTCTGTCTCGCCTCTGTCATTTAAATAGTAAGGGGTAAGTAATCAAAAGTCCTTCCATGGTCTATTGACACTAGCTTACTGATCCTATGGGCAATGTCAGTTATTGATTCAGAATGTATTGAATTGAAATGTAATGAATATGAAATCAAAGAATAGGCAACTTTTATCATACTGGCAAGTGCTGTGTTAGCGATACCCAACCCATTTGAGTAACAACCCTATTACACACGCAGGGAGTTGAAGGAAGTGGCTTGGGGAAGTTACTTTATGACAATCTATGGGGAGGCTATTGTTCAGCATTTGACTTGTGAACAGAGGGGCTGTAGTGACAGGGATAGTAACTATATTTTTCTTGAATCTTGTTTATTAAAGTATTAACAGTGCTCTTACAGATTCATGGACAAAATGAGTAATTCTTTTTCAGATTGAGATTTTTAACTAAAAAAACATAACTAATAAACATTCAGGATGTCTTACTCTCAAGAAGAACTTATGACTACACTTAATGAAAAATTAAAGTATGGATTTGAACTTATAGCCCAAGTAAAAAAAATTGAAGAACTTGATGGTGCTATGAAGTTGCAGAGAAAAATTCGACAAGAGATTGAATTTTTAAAAAGAGTAAATGTTTTGTTGTTTTTTATATAGTCATTTTGCAATAACTAACCAAATTTGCAGAGAACATACAGAATAAGTAATATGGGAAAATGGTGAAGAAAAATTAATAAAAAATGTTTAACATTCTGTCCTTTTAATCTTTTAAATTGGATTTAAAGTTAGATTTTACTGCACACACACACACGCACACACACACATATTCATAAGGGCCAATCGGTAGGTAAAAAAATTCTTGCCCATAAATCACATTCAATTTGGGACAATTTCAACTATAGTTCATAAAAGATAGCTTGATCTCTGCGACACCTGCCTTTCAGTAAAATATACCTGTCCTGAATTTCTTTGTAGTACAGACATTACCTGTCAATGTCATACTTTATGGGCATGCACTAATTAGTTCGGCATGCCCATAAAGTATGACATTGACAGGTACTGTCTGTACTACTAAGAAATTCAGGACTTCATAGGCGTGATTTTTACTGACAGCTGTCGCAGAGATCAAGCTATCTTTTATGAAACATAGGAGTATTGCTATAACGCAACTGCTATAACGGTATATCATTATTAATATATATATATATATATATATATATATATATATATATATATATATATAAATTTGGCTACTCAGAAAAATAACCCTGTATATTTATAATTTTTCAATTATCCCTGTATGGTTTCAATTATGTAAAATAAAATTGTGCAAAGTAATTGTAAATATAATTAATAAACATTTGTTCTTGACATTATAATAATTACAAATAACAATGTTATGTTTAATTTTCAGTTACAAAAAAGTAAAAAGGCTAAAATAGAGCAGTTGGCTTGTTCAAACTTGAGACATTTGAGTGCTTTGGTTGAGTGTGCTACAAGGCCGGGTGTTATTTCTGTGTTAAAAATGTTTCATATTAATGATGAAAATAAATTGTTGATTGATGTTATAAGTGATGATGGAAAAACATGGACTAAAGGTGAATAAAGAAATATTGAATTGATTGTTTTAATATTATTTTTTTATAGAATGTTATAAACTAATACACAGTTCACATGATGGTAGATTTTTTTAGAGAATAAGGTTGACAAACGAGCACACAGTCCACCTGATGTAAGTGGAAGCTGCGGTCCATATACATATACATTTCGCCTCAATTAAAAATCAAAATGCAGTTGCACTGTCACGCCTGAAGACTGAGATGGAATACTTCGTTTCCAGTAAAAAGGGTCTCCGGTTCTCTATACCCACCGCACGAAACACAACAGCATTAAGCTCCTATTTTACGCTGGTATTCTGTTAGAGTGTGATTCATGCTATGCTATATAGCTACAGCATGGCTCTACCACGTAAATAAGTGGATGCTGTAATCCATAGACATATATTATCCATAAACATTATATCAAATCAAATACAGATGTATGATTGCATTCCTGAATACTAAAATGGAATGCCTTGTTTCCAGTAAAAATGGTCTCCAGTTCCCCACACTCACCATACTAAATACAGCAGCATTAAGCTGCTATTTTACATGGTAAATATGATAATTATGATGTAGTATAGCAGTAAATAAAATATGATAATTTTTAACTCTGTCAATTGCAGTCATAGCTCGCAATCCAAAATCACTGTCAGCTCTTAGTTCTGGTAATTCATCATATGGTGCCCGATCAATTATAGATCAAGCACAAGACTATTTGGAGTGTGCTAAACTTTATCCATGTATGTACCGACCACCAAAGGTTAGTAAAATTAGTTATGATATCAAATGTCCTATTTGGATCGATTCCTAATATCAATTTTAATTTAAAATATAATATAATTGCAATGGTAGTTTGCATCCATTATTTCAGGTTGTCTTCGAGTTTGTAAGTGGGATTGAAGACTCACTAGCAAACAAATTGAAAGCACTTGGGATTCTTGTTGAAGGTGAAATATTACCTGATTTTAAACCAAGTAAAGATGAATCTTGGGAATCTAGTGATGATGAAGGCCCTGTCATTAGGTGTGTTTATGAAGTGCTCAACACTTTCAAAGTTATAAAATAGTCGTAGTAATTCTTTTTAATACATCAACAGCATTTATGAGTTCAGTACCATCTTCACTATACCAGCCTCTCAATACCAGCTGTGTTTGAAGAGATAATTTGTGAAATTTCACCCAGCATGGCAACTATGGAAAAATCTTACAAGTTAGTTGCATAGGAATGTACAACATGCTTCAATTAATTTAAAAAAGTGCTAAGTGCCTTGATAGTGAATTTGTAACTTGGTAACTTTTAAATAGTTGTATAAAATAGAACAACAACAAAACATCAGCTTTATGGTTGTATTGAATATCATAATGTTAAATCATAAAGGTACAATGAAAAGCCAGCGTAAGTAAACAATGTAAACAAGATTTAGGGTTTCAGAGTGGACTGTGTGGCTATCTCACCCTTAACCATAGACTGCACTTTAGGACATTCTCAATGACTATCTCTACAGTGGGCCACTAGCTATTACTGAAGCCATAATCTGGCTTTTATATATGCGGAGCTCTAGTCCCATGATGGTAACATATCGGTGATCAAGACAGTTAGTAGATGTGCAAGTGAGAAAGTATTCTAATTCATGTGTTATTATTATAGTTTTGTTACAATCTCCCCCTCTGGTGCTCGCATATGTTCCCTCAGAGCTTGACTGCCTCGTTGGCCTAGTGATAGTAACTGGTATATAATATAACATTTAATATATATATATATAAATCGGGTTCGAATCCCGGATCAGGACAAAATCAGTAATAAGATTTTTCCGTAAAGAAATTTTCAGTAGCAGCCTGGATTCAAGAAGTTGGCAGTGTTTCACCCCGTGACTCGGAAAGCACGTAAATCCATTAGTCCTGCGCCTTATCCCTCTCCGCTAGTGTCGGAATACCGTCCCATTGGACTATTAGAATGAGGGATTAAAGATTGCACCTGTGTTATTGCACACACTCAGACACTATAATTCTGTCAGGTGACGAAGTTTACATGGAGACTGGCTGCCTTGACCGAAATTGAGTAAGGACAATCAAAAACATTAAGTGAGTTTAGACTTCCTTGGTAGGCTGTCATCTTGTCTTTAAATTGACTCCTTTAGGCCTATACATAATTTTATGGCTTAGCTTCTTTTTACATAGTAAGGCTTTGCTGCAGCTATATTACGGCTGAATCACGAAAAGGTCAGCTCAATTGTGATAAGAACATGCTTTGTTTCTTGTGACCTCAAGTGTGACAATGCATCTACATTTTGATTGAAGGATAAAATGTAGATTTCTATGGGGCATCTACTTAGGACCAGACTGTGTGCTCTTTCTTACGCATATTTTATAAAAAAGATATCTCAGTCGAGGACAGCTAATATTATGTCCAATTGAAGTCTTTCTTTGAGTAAATTATATGTGGTGGAGCCACACTGTAGCTTTATTATGATTGTAACATGTATAAGTCCACTTGACCGGGGACATGCCACGCTCTCACGTAATACCAGCGTGAAATAGCAGCTTAATACTGCTGTATATCTATTGTATGGTGAGTGTAGAAAATTGGAGACCCTTATTACTGGAAGATATACCTTATTACACTTTGATTCATATTTAAAGATAGATGTCGATGGCTATGGGCCACGGGATCCACTTACCATCATGGGGACTGTGTGCTCGTTTGTCACCCATATTCTATAAAAAAGAAAACAAATAGTTTCGCAAGTATGAGAAAGTACGCATCACAATGGCAGTGGCTTGACGAGAAAAATACTAGAATCTCACGGGCCAGTGTTCGAGAATTTAACACAGAGCCTTTGCTGCAGTTTGTGGTACAAAGAAAAAGAAATGTAGCATCTCCATTTACGAGTGTATAATTGAATTTTAGCTCACGGTAATAATCGGCTTTTTACGAGCCAAAATTTGATTATACTAAGAAATAATATAACTTGCTCAAGGTATTCGCCCAAAAAATAAAACAAAAGATGTGTATTGTGCTACTGAAGAAGATCATCGTTCATTCATCATCATTACAGCCCATCACAAGTCCACTGCTGAACAAAGACCTCCCTCATAATGCCACAATGTACATTCCTGAGCCACATGCATTCAACGACTATCTGCTTGTTTCATCAGGTCGTCACTCCATAAGTCGCTCAACAGTGCACTTGCCAATACGTGGTTGCCATTTAACAACCTGTCCTCCCCGACGGTTGTCGGTTCTTCAACCTTTTGAGTGGACTAAGTAATATTACAATTTCAATGTAATAACGGCGAATACATAGTTACATTGAAAACTTCATTCCGTATTTTGCCACCGTTAGGTAGATAGTTTGTAGAATTATTTCTTTAAATTTATAAACTCTGAAGTATTAACCCATTAAATAAAAAAGAATCTCTACTTGGTTCACAACTAATGACAATATCGCATAACATTAACATACATACAAAAAAAAAACAGTCGATTTACGGACCTCCACTTTTTTTTTTCAAATGTGCTAAAAAGGTTCTAATTTCCACTTTGCTAAGATCCGTGATAATATGCTTAGATGTTTGCAACAAGAGAAGTTGATTACTTACAATACAATCACAAACACGACATTAAATTAAAACAGTATTCTTCGCTGGTGTAACTGCGGCACGCAGCAATATAAAAAATGGCACCATTTATCACAATGCTGATACAGGTTTTTATAAACTTTACAGGCAACAGGACCTCAAACAAGAAATGTTACAAAGCTTTGATAATGAATCAGAAATTAGAACACTAAATTTAGATGTTACTGCTATGATGGCATACATCAGTAATATGACGAATGGACACTGTAATTATATTTTCAAACAAGATGTATTGACCCAACAAGCTGCTTGGGAAGCAGAAAGACCTGTGAAGCCAGTCTTAGAAAGGCTGTTTCAAGGTAAATTTTAAATGTTTTCAAGTTAAACTTTTAAAATTTAAATTACTGTTGTAAATATAAGCTAAGAACCGTGTTTTTTCAAATAATTGTTACAAGTATTAACATACTAATACAAACCATAGTAAATTTCATAGTACGCGAACAATCCCGGTGACTAAGTGTGACAAACGAGCAAACAGTCCACTTGATGTAAGTGGAAGCTGCGGCCCATATACATATACATTTCGCCTCGATTAAGAATCAAAATACGCTGTCACCCCTTAGGACTAAGATGGAATGCCTCATTACTAGTAAAAAGGGTCTCTGGTTCTCTAAACTCACCATATGAAACACAACAGCATTAAACTGCTACTTTACACTGGTATTCTGTGAGGGTTCCCTGGTCGAGAGGACCTATTCATGCTATAACCATAATATAGCTGCAGCGTGACTCTACCATCAGTGAACCATTAGTGGATACAATGAAATAAGTGCTCTAATGGTTGTATAAATGTTAAGTAATTTTAATTAATTAGGCTTCTTGAAAAATATCTACTGTCTGCAGTTGTCAATCAAAATCTATTATATATAGTAGTTAAATGTTTGATGTAATCTTTTTGCCTGAAGGCTTTGAAGCCATTACCACAATAACTAATAATAAAGATATAATGATATGACATGAAATCAAAGTTGAAGCTATTGAAAGTAATAATATTAATTAAACTTTTCCTCGCGAGATGTCATTTATCCTTTTCAGTACATCATTTTGCCAATTAAATGTTCCCAGTAATCCCTCTTTTAGTATCTTGTATTGCTTATGTATCTAATGTGCTGTGTGTTATTTCGAATTTTTTAAGTTATCATTACGATTGTTCAGTTTTATTCCGAATTTTATTGAAAGGATATCATGGAAGGTGGATTCTTAAAAGCAGAAAGTACTAATCTACCAAGGATAAATATATAATATAATAAATTGATGCAGGCAAATTTTTTTAGCATGCAATCCCGATTTTTGTTCTGCCTACTTAAGGAATGTTAAAACATCAATGTTGTACCCATTACTATCTAACTTTTGTTTATACCGTCACACAATACCAGGTCAGAGTGTATTTTGATAATATATAGTTATCTTTATGTATGATTACAATCATTAGCAATCATTGAATAGATTAAAATAGGATCATTTTTTATTCAATAAAGATTATATGTAATACTTATTGAAAGTCATTTTTACTTTTACCACTGGTTCGAAAAAATCTTTTGTCCTGAGAAGAACCAGCAAGAAACCCAGTGGGACTTTTTTTTAAAAGCACAATTTACAATATAATATTTCATAGAACTGTTAACTGAAAACATTAATAAACAGCATGGTAGTGACCACCTCATCCCCAGGGGTTATTATCAATCATGCACTCTTTGGTAGTATAATAACCCTTATTAACTATTTTTGCTTAATAAATATTTTAAACTTTTTGATATATAAGGTCTGCATGTTTTCTGGGACTTTGTTCTAAAAGTGTGTATACATTAGCCCATGAAGGAATTACCGACTCTTTGGAGTCGAGTAACTAATATAACTAACTTGTGCTTATTCCTAGTATTTACAGAATATACATCACTATTTTTAATTAAACTGTTTTTGTTTTTGTGTATATATATATATATATATTAAATTTTCGTAAATATATTGGGAAGCCAAAGTTAATATATTTATTTCTTTAAATTTTTCGCTAAGAGATTCTTTCGGACCTAGGTTGTAAATTGCTGTTATGGCTCTTTTCTGCAAAACAAAAATAGTTTTCATGTCAGTCGCATTTCATAATTATATATACAAGCAAGATTCCATAATTATGACTTAATGCTATGAAATTAACTAAAATAAACTAATCTACCAGTTTCAACACATGTAAGACCTCTTATATTTTTTACAGCATATTCTGCAGAACTAAGTTTGCTATTTATTTAGTTTAGATATATGGGGCCCCATTAAAGCTCGCGTCAACTGTAATTCCGAGAAAAACAGTGGAGTCAACAAGGCCCAGCTCCTCCCCATTTAAAAGAACACTGGTTTTTACCGGTTTAACATTAGGTGTAGTGAATTTAATAAATTTCATTTCATTATCGTTCAAAAGCACATTGTTGCAAGCCATTATAAGTGCCCCTAGCGCCATCTAGTGTCGGGTAGCACAAACAGTTTATTTACATTTTAAAAAACTTAACAATTGATCTAGAAATATATTTTAATTTTTTACTAAGGATTGTCAGTACGTAAATAGGTCTAAAATTAGTGGAGTCTAATGTACTGCCAGATTTAAATAGATAAAAAGGTATAACTACCATGTTTCAATAAATCAGGAACACAAACACACCTTATTCGATACTAGCATTGATAATAATAGCAAGTCGGGGTGCGATCGCATCTATTATAGATGCAATAACTGTTACGGAAATCCCCCGTAAATCTGTGGTTTTCTTTACATCACATGAATGTCCTGTACAGGGGACTATCTGTAACATCTATGGTAAATAAATGTTTGTTGAAGGAGCCATGTCCTGTAATAACACTTGTTGCTATTCTGATCTGTGACTATTCTTAATCTCACATAAAATATTTTTAGGGAAAATTTTAGTGTGCTGCAGGACTGCTTGGAGTGATTTTGAAAAAATTGTAAATACTTTGGGTGGCCCATTGGAAAAGAATAGGGCAGCAAATTTGAAGGAGGTCTTGAAAATTCTACCAGATGATAGTGGAGGTAAGAATTAATTATATATTTTTTAATTTTCGTTCTTTCCTAAGTTTGCAATCTATATAAGTATATTTTGGCTTTGTAGTGCAATGCCATTATCAGAAACAAACAACATGGAGAAAATCTTCCACAAGCTTAGAACTTAATATTAAACAAACATGTTGCAGGTGCAGATGATTATCCAAGGCATAATTTGAAAGTGAGGGGGCATGTGCGTTTACGTTCTAAAGTTATATTTAATTTTGGTCACAGAATAAAAGCTCTCACGGTGTCAGCAAATGAGGGTTTTGTTAGAGCTGCTTTACAACAGGTATGATTTACTGTATATGCTTATATTTATCTTGTGCTATATGTGACCTTCTTAAGAGATTAGTAGAATACTTTATGTCCATGCATCACTGACCTCTATATATACAAGTACGCTGGACTGGCTATACACCGTGACATGATGAAGCGATTTGATTTTCGCCATTTTGCCGGTGACAGCAGAAGTGGACGTCCACGGAACTAATAATAGGGATAAGACAGTGTACTAAATTATCCTACATCCTAAATAAATAGATTGGACTCTATGGATAGATGGACTCTACCCGTAACGTCCATTCTATTTATGTATCATATTAATATAATGCCATTATCATTCATCATCATTTAAACCCTTAACAAGTTCACTGATGAACATAGGCCTTCCCCAAGGAATGTCATAAAGCACTGTCCTGTGACGCATAGCCAATCGCCATACCAACACTCCTCTTCCCTTACGACTCCACCTCGACTACAGCGGTACAGGGAGAGGAATCTCCTCTAGCCGTAGCCAACTAAAATACAACGTGGCTCAACATCATCAGGCGACCTTTCGACACTTTGCTATGGCCCTTGAGTTTGTTGGGAAATGAGAAAAGAAGAAATAAAAAACATTCGAAATATTAATCTAATACTTTTATACTTACTGCTACTGGTACTACCAGAAAATATTGTCGATATACAGCACTTTTAAAATTTTTAAGTACTTATATTATAAAATAGTTTTAATTTGTTTAATATTTGGTGCAAATTCACTTACTTGTGAAATGCTATACCACTTCCCTTTTGGTAACGAGTTTTATAGATTACGCACACTCTCATTATTAATAAAAATAATTCTTATTATGTAACTAATATTATACACAATCAAACAACATAAAATACTTTCGTTTTTTAGTTTAAAAGTTCAAAATACTGTTGCATGAATAAGTCAACTAGCGCCATCTAGTGTCAGGAACAAGAGCGAGGGGAGCTTTGCAGAAAATGACACCACAAATCGCTCAACCGACAGCGCCTAGAAAGTCGAAACTCGAACGCTCGGTACCTTCCGCGTGTTTACTTGAACATTCTGGATATTTCTTTGCTAATTCAAATATGTAGGCGCTGCAAGGTGCGATGGAGGCAGAGTTGATTTGGGCGACACAAGCGAAGCTTCGGAGTGGAATTAAGTGAATTAATGTGTTTAAATTATTAGTGTTTTAACTTTAATTGTGTAAAGTAAATTAAAGTGTTAATTTAGGTAATTTTATCGGCAATTTTTATTGTCACGAACCTCAAGCTCGTAACAATTGGTGTCAGAAGTGGGATTAAATCATGCCGATTTTACCTAAGGAGGAAACGGAGGGTGTCCGTACCCGAAATCAACGCCAGCAGGAGACGGACCAAAGAAGGTTTGGTGGTGCAACGCCGCAGACGTCGGAGGGCCAACCGCCGGCTGCAGGCCCGTCAGTAGCTCCTCCATCTGCAGCACCCGACTTAGGTGCTCTGATGGTGCTGCTGCCAACAGGCCCGTCCAGGAGGAACAGGCTCGCCAGCAGGCGGAACAGGCACGCCAGTTGAAAGAGCAGCTGCAGAGCGGACAAGAGGAACAGGCCCGTCGGTAGGAAGAACAGATGCTCCTCATGAAGGACCTTCACGCTACCTTCGGGAAAGAGATAAGGGAGGTGAAGGATAAGGTTGCTCAGCATGAAAACCGCCTGTCGGAAGCAACCAAATCTGAAAGCTGAAAACCCGAATCGACCTAGTGAACAATCGGGTTGACAACGTAATGGCTGACATGAGGAAATCACTTGACGAACTCAAACTTGGGGAGGGAACTACAGTTCCCGTAGTAGCTACAACACCTTCGCTACGTGGGTTCAAGGTGCCGCCATTCGACGGGACCTCTTCCTGGTCGGCCTACAAAATCCAGTTCGAGGCCGTCATGAAGGCGAACGGCTGGAATAAAAGCCAAGCCATGACTGCTCTCACCCTAGGCCTGCGCGACCAGGCCTTAACAGTTCTGGAAGCTCTCGGTAAGGAAGTGACCTATGAGCAACTCCTTGAGGCATTGGAAGCGAGATATGGCGACGCTCACCTGGAACACGTCTTTCGCGCGCAGCTTAAAAATCGCGTGCAGCGCAGCAACGAAAACCTGCAGCAGTGGGCCCTAGAAGTGGAGAAGCTGGTGCGAAAAGCATACCGGTCTGTACCTGCGCTCATTGAAGGGAACCTGGTGCAGACATTCATCGACGGCATCCGCGACCTTGAAGTCAGAGCTGCTGTGAGGCTCGGGCACCACGAGACGCTTAAGAACGCCTTGGCCCATGCACTGGAAGTGGAAGCCGTGCGGCAGGATCATCGTTCCCATCGCGTCAGGGAGGTTCAGCAGCTACAGTTCGCGACCGCAACAAAGGATACAGCCCAAGGTGCTATGGCTGTGGGGAAAAGGGCCATCTTCGATCCAGCTGCCCTAAGCGAACCCTAGAAAGGGAAATTGAACGATCTCAGGAGGGTAGTGCGGCCAAACAGCACCGCCCTCGCAGCAGCAGGGAAACGAGTAAAAGCCAGAACTGCGGGGCGGGTGCTGGCTGATGTTAAAAGAGCCCCAAGGATCTCGATCTCACAAACCCATGACGGGAACAGCCTAATCATAAAGGGCGAGATCAACGGAATGCCGTGTAAACTGACCATAGACACTGGAGCCTCTCGTACGGTTGTTAGTTCCCAACTTATAAGTCAGTTCCTTGGGGACTCCGCATACAACCGAGAACGCATTAATTTGGTAACAGCCACCGGTCAGCGTATACCCGTCCGTGGAGAGAAGGAGATGGAGTTGAAGCTAGGCAACGTGATCTACCTGCATAATGTCATCGTGGCTGATATAATGGACGACTGCATCTTAGGCCTAGACTTTATGAGGAATAATTGTTGCGAGATCGACGTTAAGCAAGGTGTTTTGAAATGTGGACAGGAGGAACTTTTTATGGAAGGTGCGTTACCAGGGAACGTGTACAGCATCAAGAAGTTTGTTCTTCCGCCGAGATCGGAAACGATTGTTCCGGTTAGTCTACCTCGAAACGCTGGGCAAGCTCACCGTTGTGTACTTGTGAAAAGTGTAAACAATGACCTTCCATGGAAAGTAGCTCGAACCTTGGTCAGGACCACTGACATCTCAGGAGTACGTGTGCTTTGCGACCGGGAACAGATTATAGAAAAAGGCACACTGGTTGGTACTTGTGAGGAAGTGGATTGGTTACGTCAGTGCCAATATATATCGAGTGGGACCCCCAGCAAGGATTCAGAAACGAGAGTGACCACACTTTTGGAAGACTGTCGCAGTGTTCTGTCCCCGAACGAATTGGTCAAGGCGAAGAAGTTGTTACTCAAGTACGCCGATGTATTCTCATCAAATGATGCTGACATAGGAAAGACTGGCCTAGTTCAACACAAAATAAACACAGGAGAGGAATTGCCTATCCGTCAGCGGCCAAGAAGATTGCCGGTAGCACGTGAAAAGGAAGTGGAAACCATGATTGAAGGAATGGTGAAGGATGGTGTTATTGAACCTTCCTCTAGTCCATGGTGTTCACCAGTGGTGCTGGTGAAAAAGAAGGATGGCAGCATGCGGTTCTGTGTTGATTACCGCCGTCTGAACGACGTTACAAAGAAGGACAGCTATCCCTTGCCAAGAATTGATGACACGCTGGACATGCTTACAGGAGTAAAATGGTTTAGCACGCTGGATCTAAAAAGTGGCTACTGGCAAGTTGAAATTGACCCTAAGGACAAGGAGAAAACTGCGTTCTCGACGGGAAAAAAGGGTCTGTGGCAATTCAAAGTAATGCCGTTTGGGTTGTGCAATGCTCCAGCAACGTTTGAAAGGCTGATGGAACTTGTACTTACCGGGCTAATTGGCGATGCCTGTCTGGTCTACTTGGATGACATCATCATCGTGGGCCGTACGTTTGAGGAACACCTTCAAAACCTGGAACGCGTGCTCATGAAGATTCAGAGTGCCAACCTCAAGTTGAGCCCGAAGAAATGTTCACTATTCCAACGGCAAGTTAACTTTTTGGGGTTTGTAGTATCGGAAGAAGGTATCCGCACAGATCCAGAGAAAATCGCCGCTGTCAAGGATTGGCCGGTTCCAAAAGACAAGACGCAGGTTAGAGCATTTTTGGGTTTGTGCTCCTATTACCGGCGATTCGTGAAGAACTTTGCAGATATAGCCAAACCTCTGCACAAGCTAACCGAGGAGAAGCGACAGTTCTGCTGGGATGAAAGTTGCAATATCGCATTCCAGGAGCTCAAGGACCGTCTGTGCAAAACACCTATTTTGGGATACCCTGATGCAAGCAAAGAATTTATAGTTGACACAGACGCAAGTGATATAGGACTCGGCGGTGTGTTGTCTCAACGGAATGGTGACCAAGAGGTCGTGATAGCGTACTTCAGCAAGTCGTTGTCAAAACCGGAAAGGAACTACTGTGTCACAAGACGCGAATTGCTAGCTGTGGTAAAGTCGTTGCAGCATTTTAGCAAATATCTTCTGGGACGAAAATTTCACTTACGAACTGACCACGCTGCACTAAAATGGCTATTGCAGTTTAAAAATCCAGAAGGACAAGTTGCGAGGTGGATTGAACTACTGCAGGAATACGACTTTGAGATCGAACATCGCAGCGGGAAATCTCATGGCAACGCAGATGCATTGTCAAGAAGACCTTGTCCTGAAGATTGCAAACATTGTACTAGGCAAGAGAGTAAGGAAGTGGTATCCGTGAGGATGCTCAGGGCAGACCACCTCAGCAACGAGTGGAAGGACAGCTTACTACATGCACAGCAGGAAGATCCGGACATCAAGCCGATCCTGGAATGGATGAAGGCCAGTGCTCCCAAGCCCAAGTGGAGCGACGTCTCAGCGATGAGTTCGACCACTAAAAGCTACTGGGCCCAGTGGGACAGCTTGCTGCTTCAGGATGGAGTTCTGTGTCGTAAATGGGAAAACGTTCGGGGAGACAGCTGTCATTT